TGCTAGTTGTATATTCTGTGCTAGTACGTGAATTTACAGTGAAGTGGAGTGATAGATCAATAGCCAGCATGGTGCTCCAAATGATTGGCACAAAGGCTCAACTGAGAAGAACCTGGCACAACCAAGGTGTCATTAATTTAAAAGGTATATCATCTAAAACTCACAGACAGATAAGGCTCTGTTCACTTTCTCTTCTAGACTACAGGGTTTTAAAATGGCATAAATATTTCACTGCAACACAAAGTTTACCAGGGGTGATATTCACAGAAGCGGAAGAGAAAATGAGAGTAGGCAGCAACACAGAGAGACATGCTATGATCTATGCCTCAAGTGATGTTGGTTTAGCTCAATAACTAAATCTACAGTTTTCTAGTACTGCTCTACTTTGTACTCCCAGATCCTTAAAACACTGTCAGGGCAAGACAGGAGATCTTCCTAGCTCAGAAAGCAGCCAGGGTGGAACCTGCTGGGTAGGAACTTCGGGGGGGGAAAAGGACTCTTCTACAAACCTTCTGAGGTGGGGAAGAATCTGTTCTACACAGTTGTGAAGGAGAACAAACAACTACTCTTTTTTTTCCCCATAAAAATTCATAATATCTCATAAAAATTCAGAAGTGAGTGTTGGTGAAAATTTCATCAAAAAAACTACAGTCGCTAATAATTAGTGCTTTTGCTCCAAATTGTTTTCCTCTTTAAAAGGTGGCCATTTTGTTATTGTTAAGTGGTCTAAAGTCTAATTTTAGATTGAAAGGATTAAAATATAACTATATGTTATGAAAATTTATGTTCCAATAAGCTTGCTCTATCATCTTTATCCTAAAAAGAGGCAGAGGAGAGGCTTTTGAATAAAGGGAGAGTCCACTGGGGAATACTGTGGGGTCACTCGAAGTACTGGGGGACACAGCTGCTCCTTTGTCCCTGTACCCCAGTGCTGATGAACCCTTCCTCCTTTTCCCCATTCGCTGACCTACTCAGGGTTCACATTCATCTCGATTTGTCTACCAGTTCATCCCCGTTTCGTTTCCTTTGATTAAACATACTTTGTAATCAGGATTCAGTTTGTTTTGTCCAACTACAACTGTCTTTGTATCCTGTAAAGTCTATCACCCTTTGCTCTGTCCAGCAAACAAGATTTACACACAGATGCTAAGCCAGAATCTCCTGCCATATACTTGCAAGATAGATTTTTTAAACCAGATTCTTGAAACTCTTCTTCTCAGCTTTTTCTTCATCTTGTTTTGCAGGGACCCCCTATCCTTCCTTTTTTCTTTCCAAACATTATTTTGCAAGGACACCTTCTCATTGTTTTTCCTTCATGATTTCTCTACAATTTGGCTAAACCAAGGGCAAAATGTTTTAAAGGGATGTTTTTTATTCCCATGGAGTTTCTCAGGAAGAAGACAGTTTTTTGGAAAGAACTGAGAAAAAGATCAGTGAATCTCATTTTCATCTGATTGATGTAAATCAGCAGAGAAAGCCTACCTTCTGCTGGCATCTGTATACACCAGCTGCATACAGGGGGCACAGCTTTATGGCTATGATGGTTTCTCACCAGTAGGCAACCCAGCACCCCACACCTCTCTCACTCTTCCTCTTCAGAAGGGCATGGGGACAAAATTTGTTGGCAAAAAGCTCATGGGTTGAGATGAGGACAAGGTGATGATGCAACAACTACCATCATGGACCCCGTGTCTGGGATGGCCTGCTCCTCTGTGGGCCTGTCCTGGGCTGCATGGAGCTGCAGCACCTCCTGCCCTCCTCCTGCCCTGAGCTCGGTGCCTGCAGGGCCGCTGCTCTCTCATTTCTCCCCTCTTTCTCCCAGCTGTGCTGCTGTTGTTTTCTGGCAGTGGCAGGGCCCTGCTGGAGCAGCTCTGCTCTGACACAGGGCACTGCGGGGCTCTGCTCACAGAGGTTAAAGCCCCCTGCTACCATCACCTTGCTGTATAAGCCCCAGTACAAGGTCTAGCTACAATGAAGACTTATTTTTATGCCTCACCAATAGCTTAAATGCAGTTTTAATTAAAAGCAAAACAGAATTTGTCTATGAAGTGGTTGCCAATTCCTGCTTAATTATCGCATTCACCAAATACTGGAGCTCGCTTGTCAGGGGTTTGAATTTTCTAACTGGAATGAAGCAGACAAAATAGATAAGATGTCAATTACAATAAACTGTAATTAAGATTATTGGCAGATGAAGACCCTCAGGGAACCATAGCCCCACATAGCAGGAAACTTGATATTCACACGGTCCATTCTTGCACTGAATAAGAGAATGAGCCATTTCATATAATATAAATTTATCATTTAAAATAAAACTTTGAAATAAAAGAAACAGGATAGAGAAATACACCACAAAATCCTCCCTTTCTTATCACATTTCTTATCCGATTGCAGGTTTCTTAACTAGATTCAGAGTATGGAGCCCTACTGCTTTTTATTTTTGCAAATTAATTTTGAATTGCTTGCAGTGAGGGAGAAGAAACCTCTGAAACTGATACTGAACACAATATGGTGGCAATCTTTCCAGCAGGCAGCAACCTTGTGCAGCAGCAGCTGTGTCATGTAGTAAGCAAGAAAACAGGATTGTTTCACTACCTACTTGCTCCCACCACATCTCTCTTAAACAATAACGAGACTGAGGAGAAAGGAAGATATTGTGGTCCCAACAGTTGTAATACAGCATTGACACCAGTGGATTCAGTGAGGTTAAACTAGATTAAATAGCTCAGTCTTGCAAGCAGCATTTCTGCTCTTAATTCTCTAACCGGCGCTGTGTGAGAGGTGCTTCACTGCCTTTGCGTTTCTTACTCTGCAAGAGATACACAAGAAGAGCTCTACCCATTTTCCTTCCTATTAGCACTGCCTAAGGGGTCATATAACTATGAATACTCATATGGCAATCATATTCTCCCTCTCTTTTCGGCCTGGAGTCACATCAAGCTGTGCTTCAATGCCTTTTTATTCACTGAAGTCTCTTTCAAATCTAAGTAATCCATTCAGTATTCAGAGTCCTAGCTGCTTACTCAGAGGACAAGAGAGAATTGTCATTCCTTTAGTCAGCAATAAAGAATGAGTACATTTCAGAGAAAATGAGAAGGGTTTTATTGTGATTTCTGCATTATCCTGTGTTCCCAACAGTAGAAGAACTTCTGTCCTAATTTTTTCTGCTGACAACACTGTGGCAACACAGACCATACAAGTAAGTAGCTTTTATATACAATATGATAAACCATATAGATAAACTTAAATTTGTAAATTCCATCACAGAATTCAACTAGCAAAAAAACCCATATTTTCAGTGAAAGATACTCTGGAAAGAGCAGAGCCTGAGTTCCAGAACAAGATGAACTGGGCATAGAAAGTGCTTTTTGGGCTCTCAGTGGCAAGATATTGCCACTGTATCTTTTCTTCAATGGTTACTTGAAAGAACAGGGAGCTTAGCACCCTGTGAGTAGAAAGAATCAGAAAATTTGGCAATTATTCCTAACAAAGATTTCTGTTAAAGATGTCAGCCTTTTTTTCCTTACTTATCACATTGTAGCTTCCAGTATCCACTGCAGAAAATGGGAATGCAGAGGCAAAATCCACATTTCAGTGACTGGTCTTGGGCCATGCTCTTACAGGGCACCAAGGTGCAATGGTGTTCTATCAGAAGGTGGCATTTAAGCTGTGCTTAAGTGTTAGCAACCAGTTCACCCAGTACAAATGGCCACAACAATGATAATTCCGTTTGCAGTGCTGGGAAGCTGTCCAACATTGGTGTAGAATGGGAGAGCAAGTCCAGAGTTCAGGCTTCTCTGAGGTAGCCACTCCAGGAAACACTTATAATTAGAAAGGGTTTTTTAATTTTGAAACATTCCTTAATGTAGAAAGAATTATTGAAGGTCAATAGAGCTAAATAAAATTGGCCCAAACGCTCAAGTAACTTCTCTAATTTTTTTTTCTTTTTCCTAAAACTTATGACACTACTCCAGCTTGAGGGCTGACACATCTGCTGTACAAAAATCAACTGAAAAGAAATGCAGGTTTACCCCAGTAAACATGAATTTATACCTTCTGAGGCACAAAATGCGTTCCATTTTAAAAATAAAAAGTTACTGTGAGAAAGACTTTCTGTTTAACCAGTGGTACAGCACTTCAAAGCATGCACTGGGTTTTCCTTTATATGAAACCTATGTATCAGAATTATAACTCTTTCCAGAAGGCACACTGTAGCAAAAGTGGAAAATAATGCATATAAGTGCATTTTTATATGTTCTGCCAAGTCAAGAGGCTAGGTTACTTGATCACTGCCTCTGTCACTGAAAATATGAATTGCTGAGTAAAGTTCACCAAGCTTAGCAGAGTTACTGATATACATAAACTAGAGATAGAAGTGTTGCAAAATATCATCAGAATAATTATTTTACTAATGAAAGATCCTACTCTGTAAGTATTCTGATGCTCCAGCACATATTTTCAGAAACAATAATGCTAGGAAAATAGAAAACTGTTTACTTTGGTGAAACTGAAACATAAAGTGATGCAGACACAGATTACAGGAAAGTCATTAGTGGTAATATTTAAGGATTTGGCTCATTTTTTTAGATGAAAAGGAAATTTTAAAGTGCTAAATTACATTATGCTTCTGGTTATTCTTTGTTTATTTGTTTACAAATAGCATGAACAGAAAACCTGCCTGTAAACTGTAAATTAGAAACATTAAATGCAATAATATAGTTGAAAGCTTGCTCTGTAAGTCTTCATATAATTTTGTATTCAGCTGCAGGTCAGAGTCACAGAGTCATCAGGGTACAGCTCTTACAGAGCCCAGCTCAGACTTAGGTTAACTAATGAGGTAACCAATGGATTCAGGAGTCTAACTGCAGCCTCCTTTAGAGAGCTCCATTGCCCTCCTGTTTCTCTTGGTGAGACTCGTAGGCTACCAACTTCTGATTTAAGTCTCCAAACTGAGTTGTTATGAACCCTGAAACATATTCTCTGAAATAGGCTTGGAAAGGAAGGGAGGGAGAGGAAGACTGAAGAAGTATCAAAGGTAAAGAGGGAAAGAGTTTTTCCACGTTGCTCCAGAGAAGCTGGATTTAATTTTGCTCTTAACATTTGGGAGGAAAAACAATCAAATTTTGAAGAACCAAAAAGTGTGCATGGAAAGAGCTATAGAACTTTTTTGATGTAAAAATCTTTTTGGTCGGTATACACACGCAATTTAACAGTCTAACAAAATCATAGGACTGAATGTAAAATGCTGACGGTCTCTCTACATGTCATTTTCTGTGTGCCTGTAATATTGAGTGTAGCATTCAAAGTGTTTTCTCTCTGTTTCTATCAAAAGAGAAAATACTTTGCAGTTTCAATATCGTATCTCAGATTACATAAATTTTGAAAATTTTGGGAACTAAATTATGGTGATATCCTTCTGATTGTTTGGGGCTTCCTTTTTTTTTTTTTTTTTTTAACTTTTTTGAACGTTGTTTACTTATTTTCTGAAAATGGTAATAGGAAATAGCACCATGGCGAGAAATTCGTTTCAATCGTTTAATTAAATGAGTGCAATTCATCATGAACTCTACACCTTTCTGAAGTTATATGACAAATATATTCTGGGAAGTGATTATTCAGAAACTGGGGGGCCATGAGATCAAATCTGAAAGCTAGTTATTACTCTTAAAATAGCTCAAAGTCATAGCCATCTCGTGACTGTAATGGACATTAACAGATGGTCTCAGCAGAGCCATGAACCAGCCTCCCAATCACACCTAGCACTGGTTTATCTCCTATGGTTGCTCTTAAAAAAAAAGGCCAAAACAGGTACATCTGCTTATGTGCTCCTTTTCAACCCAGCATGGGCACCGTCTCCTCAGCAACAAGGGGTAGTTCAGATACTGGTCAAGATACAAAAGCTGCAAGGCACAGCACATCTATCTTATCCCTCTATTCTCCAAAAGTGTTTGTTTCCACTCCTGAAACCTCCTTTCTGGTTATCTTCAGAGTTCATTACTCTCTGAAGTCCCTCAAGATGTTCCTGCTGCTGAGAAGCAGACAAGCTAAAACATCCTTGTATCTCTTTCATCTGATGGAAGAAAGAGGGAGAAGATCCCATTTCCAGCAGTGCCTTTTTACTAGTCCTTACTGACCCACTTTGTGTCTGAGTGTCCAGGTTTTTTCATGACGCTATCCCCTCCTCTTCCTTCATCAGCCTAATGAAGGCTTCCAAAGACTCTGAGGAGGGAACGCTCTCCTCTCCCTGCCTTGGAGGTGAAGAACAAAAATTGCTTCTGCCTCAGCCTCCACCCTCTCTGCTCATCCCATAAGCAAGAAGCAGACCGTGAGGCAGACCATGCTTAGGATACAGCAACTGCAGGGTCCAAACAGATCCCAACATTTATAGACTAAGACTATAATGCTTCCTTGAGATTTGACTGATACATTCCACAGAGCAGTCAAGGTATTAGAGCAGGCATAAGTCATGGTTATGGCTGTAGAAAGTCAACTATTGTGCTAATAAATGAAATATGGAGGTAGAATCTAGTAGTGCTGTTGAAATGCTTTTTGTGCTCCATCCATGGATGTCAGATTAAATTAAATGCCTTTCACACTAACTCCATCCCTTTCTCTTCATTTTCATGTTTTATTCTTTAGTCATGCATATCAGATCCATGTCAAGTGGATATTTACAGTCAATAAATTACAATTTAATTTTTTTTTCTTCCCAAAATGATGACATACTAGTTGGTCTATCTTAAGTATACAGCTGCACAACACAGCTTCACAATTTTATGCATAGCTGAACTTTGCTGCTCAGCACTGGCTATCAAACTCTTTGTGTTATTCTGTTACCTCCAACACAAATATAAATTACATATCTAATAAAATAGAAGCTGTTTATTTACACCTGAACTATAATGAAAACACATAGATGTTAGTTTGAAAAATGGACGAATATGACATGTACTTACATTTTTCTACATATGAATATGGTCTTTCTTAGTAAACGTTATGAAAATCTGATTATAAAAATACAACTACATTAATAATAGATTCATATAACCTTTATGTAGAAGATTTTAATGCTTATGGGAATATTTATACATGTATCAAAGATCATTGGGTTTAAGTGACTTCACTCTAATTATACATTCACCTTCAATACAACGTTGTTTCTCTAGTTTTGTACTGCTGCGTATTTATGCAATATATATTTTCATATCATTTAGGACAGGTTTTTCTCTTCCACTTTTCAACTACTTCTCTTATTGCTGGACCACTCAGGTTTTTCATATTTTCTCTACACCAGGCACCAACTGACCCCACGGAGGCCAGCCATATGCCATCCACATGAAAGGTAGCTCCTTCTGGCTCCTGTTGGACTTTGTTATTTCTGAAAACCAGTTTGCAAAGGGAAGACACAGAATGTAGCAATGGAGACAGCGGAGAGTTTAGCAGGAGCCTAAGGCAATGGACAACCAGCTGGCAGCCAAGTGGGTGCAGCTCCTGGAGGAAAGATGCTATCATACTTGGCAAGGCTGGTGTCACCTGCTGCTGCTGAAGGGCATTCATTCAGTCAGCATTCCCACAAGCCATACTCACTTAAGCTGTCATCAATGCTCCTAGAGGAACGAGACTTAGTTCAGCCTCTTTTCTCATCCACAGTGAATTCAATCGAAAATGCTGCTTTTCTTCAGGCTTTCTCTCTGATATGCAGCAGTAAGGATTGCTGTTTGGCTTTCAACTCCATGGAATCATAGAGACAGAGAATTGTTTGAGTTGGAAGGGACCTCAAAGCCCACCCAATTCCAACCCACTGACTGTGAGCAGGTTGCCACCCCCCAGCTCAGGCTGCCCAGGGCCCCATCCAGCCTGGCCTCAAATACCTGCAGGGATGGGGCATCCACAGCTTCTCTGCGCAGCTGTGCCAATGCCTCCCTGCCTCCTGAGAAATGAATTTCTTCCCAGTTTTTGTTACACCTTTTCAGCAAAACTGTTTTGTTCTTTCTCTTCTACATTATTATTTTTCAATTTGAATTTTATTAGGAAAACGGAAATCACACTTAGTGACTCCTCCACGGGTTCTTCTTTCAAGCAGGATTTGAAAAGCTCTGCTTTTGGCAGCAAGAGCACCAACAGAACCTGAACAGGTAAGCCCCTTTACTCTGTGTTAAAGCAAAGTCCTTACAGGAAACAGTGGCAGATGAAAAGATGCAAAGCTGAATGTTAAGAATTGTATGAATGTTTAACTTAACCATCTCTCCCAGGCTCTCACTGCCATAATTTGAAAAGGCTTCCAAATCACAGAATAACAGAACTGCAGGGGTTGGAAGGGACATCTGGAGATCATAGAATCATAGAATCACTCAGGTTGGAAAAGACCTAAAAGATCATCAAGTCCAACCACAACGTAACCATACTACCCTAACTCTAACAACCCTCAGCTAAATCATGTCCCTGAGCATCACATCCAAATGGCTTTTAAACACATCCAGGGATGGTGACTCAACCATCTCCCTAGTGAGCCTATTCCACTGCTTAACAACGCTTTCTGTAAAGAAGTGTTTCCTGATATCCAACCTAAACTTACCCTGGCGCAACTTGAGGCCATGTCCCCTCGTCCTGTCGCCTGTCTTCTCCAGTGAGAAGAAACCAAACCTACTCTTGCTGTAAGCACCTTTCAGATATTTGAAGAGAGCAATAAGGTCTCCCCTCAGCCTCCTTCTCCTAACTAAACAGCCCCAGTTCCTTCTAGTTCAACCTCCTGCTAAAGCAGGTTCCCTACAGCAGGTCACACAGGAAAGTGTCCAGGCAGATCTTTAATATCTCCAGAAAGGGAGACCCCACAACCTCTGTGGGCAACCTGTGCCAGTGCTCCATCACTCTGAAAGTAAAGAAGTTCCTGAGTAAATATCGTAATGAAAAAGAAACTAATACAGCTTTGTGGGACACATCTAGCAATCTCACTTCAAATGTTATCATTTCTTCCTTACGCTTTTGAATGTTGCTACTGCATATAGCAGATGGTTAGTTTATATCTTTTGCCCTTTTTGCAGGAATTTTTATTGTTATTGTTGTTTGATGAAATAACTGGCTCTTAACTGTGCTTTTAATTTAACAGACATACTTTGATGAGTGAAAGAAAGATGAGTGAAACTTCAAAATGTTTGTTGAAGCACAGTGTCTGATCACAGACACATTTAAAATGAGGAACATGCACAAGGCAATTTGGGTAGGATGTTCAGAACAATGGATTGAAAAAAAGCTGCTGTGTTTATAAATGGCTATTTACATAATCTGCTGTTTCTCTGTTATCTGCAACATTCTGCACAACAAAATTACTGTGAGCAAATGAAATTTAAATGTCACTATGTGAGCTAATCTTAGCCAAGCCATAAGAAATTTAAATTAGCTCATAGTGAAAGCAGCTTGCATGACACACTTAGAAGATGAAGTAATCTTTTCGGCAGGACAGAGACGGTGGCTCAGCCCTGAGCTTTGCTCAGCTGGTAATTTGCCCAGTTTTCTGAGGATGAGAGGTGTGGTTCTTAGAAGGTGGCACACAGGCCTGCCAAAAGGACATGCTTTTCACACCAGACCTGAAGTCACCAGTTTAGTTTGAATTATCAAACAAAGAAGATGTTCTCTTCAAGTGCATAATAATTGACATCACCACATCTAGGGCAGCTAACTAGGAAGGAAAGAACGTGAGCATTAGGTGTTCCTTTCCTGCAAGTGCCTTAACCTTCTGGCCCTGATTCGGTAAAGCAATTCAAGCTGTGCTAAATTGGAAGCATTTGAATTGTCTTACTGAAATTCCATTGTGCTCTTTAAATTAAACAAGTATGTTCTTTGATGGATTAAAGCAAGAGTGAGCACAAGTTTGTGGGGCTGAACCTGCTGTGTTTTGCCCTGTTGATAACAAGGTATTTGTTCAGCACATGCTTTTTGAATTAATACACACAATAGCTGTATCACTGACAGCACCTGGGGAGTTAGCATAGACAAAATAACACTATGTAGGTACATGTTCAGATCAAGCAGAAACTGTCTATGTAGCAGAATTGATTTTTAATGAAACATGGTAAGGAGTCCTCTCATGGATAAACCATAATGCCCCTTCCGTGGAGTTTGTGTGGACAGAGAAAAATGGTGAGAGATGGTGCTGGATGGTTCTCCTCATCTTCTCAATGTGTGTCTTCCAGTTGCCAAGGACAGTCTGCAGCAGCTGATGTCCCTAGTATGGCCTGTGCACATCCCTCTTCTCTTCCTGTCTTCATCTCCAATATCAAAACCCGTATGAAGCCGCTCTGTGAATCATTACTCTTGCATCACACTAGGGATGCACATGTGCTCACCAGTCCTTGAGGCTGCTGGAGATAATAAATTCCTTTCCTTACATGCTTTGTGACTTTACTGGCTGAGAAACTCAAGAGGAGGAGCTGGCTCTTAGGCTACAGCATCTGCCTGTGGAAATTCAGCATACACTGCAGAACTGCATAGACCATAGGATGTTCAAGTAATTATCTTCTCAAGGATCTCATGTAGATTAGCATAGCATAAGCAGTTATGTCTAGTTACAGCTACCTTATGGTTCCAGGATGATGAAATGACAGAGGAAATTCAGTGTAGACAACATAAGAGACGTGAATGAGAATAAATATTCACAACTTCACATACTAAAAGGATGAACTTTGAAACAACTACTTCCAAGTCACAACATTTGGTTATTGCTATCATACAAGACAGCTTTATGAAAAGTAAGATTTCCTCACCTTTAGAGGATCACTTCCACAGGGAGGAAGATTTAATTGTCACTACATGTAGTCCTAAGTACCATCTCATAGAAGTTATTATTATAATAGGTTCAGGCATTTACAGTATGACAATCATATTTTGGTAGTTTTGTATTTATTTAAATTGATACCGTGATATAAAATTAATACAAAGTGTTGGACTATTTCCTGCACTTCACCAATCCCTCGTCAAGTTGGTTGTAAAAACTACACAAAAGCCCTGAGGGTACCATAATGATGTTTCATAATAAGGTAATTATATGTGCATAACCTTAAACAGGAGAAATCTTTGGGGATATCTTCTTTTTATGGATGATTGTATTATCACAATTTAAATAATTAAATGTCTGCAATTGCTCCTATTTTTAACTGCTAACTGGTTGCCATGATTTGTTAGTACATATTTTTGCATGTTTATACATATGCGTTATACATACTTTGGATAAATCCTATTAGATCAATACAATCCAAATAAACTTTCAGTTCCTGCAGCCATATAACGGGTCAGGATGTCCTCATGCGTTCCTGCTGACCTGAGTTACCCAAGTGTGACCACTGCCTGAGGGTGATCTGTGGCCAGCTGCAACTGCCAGAGCCTTTTCTGCTGTACCGGTATTCCGGTAGTATTTCAAATATGTTCTTTGCAGAAGGAAAAAGACCTAGCTAACATGTTTAATTTCCACTCTTCCCTGTGAGGAAGTGAAGAACCACGGACCTATCCCACTGCTGTAATTGGAGTCTGAAACTCATCTGAGTCTTATTTCAGTCTAATTCCATTTACTTTGGCGGTCTTTTATACCAGAATGAGTGTGAAGTGAACCATGCCCTCTGTTTTTTATCTCCATGCCTATATCCAAAGTGCTACGGATCAGCCATCAGAAAGAGAGCCAGCATCTTAAAACTACTCCTAAGCTGGAAACGAAACATCTCAAGGCTGACATGAATGAAAACAGGAATGATAAGAATCACAAGAGCTCTGGCAAAGATGAAGAGGATCCCTGAACAGTTCCTGTTGTCTGGCCTCTGTGCCTTTCAAGGCCTGTAATGCAGAATTGTGATACTACTAATTGTTAAAGAAATGAGAGGTAAACATTGGCAGAAGAGGAATTGTAATGTTCCTTCAACTGCAGTTTTATTCAATGTAATTGAATTACTGTACAAAACCAAAATGATAGTGTTATTAGCCAGGTAAATGATTAAAGGCTGTATTTATGTAATAATGTTTATAAGGCTTTATCATGACATAATTCATTCAGCACAGCTAACCATAAACACTATTAGGAAACACTTTACTTTCTGATTCACATGCCCTGCATCACCATGATAAATGGAGACTCTGCCCATCCATATATAATGAGTCCCTGCAGCAAAGGCCTTCAAGCAATGAAAATTTGAAACATGGGGTGCCACTGTATTAAAAAATATGAAAAACAAAAGGAGAAAAAGTAACCTAACCAGCTCTAGAAGAATATGTGGTTGTACTTTATGGATTTATACTGGAGTATTGCTTGGTTCATGACCACACATGGATATACTTCTTAAAGTGTACAAAGATTTGTCCTGCATTACCAGATTAATGGGCAAATAAAGGCTGAACATTTATTTCCAGAAAAGTCAATCAAAGGAGAGAAGATGACAAACCTCGGTCTCTCCTGGAAGATCCTGATGCATTAAGAAATGAGATGTGAGTTACGTGGAAAGCCCTCTGGCAAGGGAGAAGAGTAGAGACATCCATTCACTGGATTGCTTAACCACTTTAGAAACTGAAAACTAATTTCTAAGCTCGCTTCTATCATTGTAAACTCAAAGAAACTCCCCTGATTTCAGTGGAGTTGTTACACACTTTTTATCACTTTTACTGATGTATAACTTTGTCCTTGAACTCTCCATTTGTCTAAAAGATCAATCTTTTCACTGAACTCTGAATACTACTGTCCAATTTTCAGTGCTGTCAGAGTTTTGAACAAGATCAGTATTTTATCTCTTGATGTTCCTTTTCATATTCCAGGCTATCAGTTTCAGTAATGTTCTTTGTGGAGGCCTTCATAAACTGTCCTTACTCTAAATACACTGAGCAGGTGTTACTTTTATATACTTGCAGATGGTGATGCAGCCAGAAAGGACATTAAAGCAAAGCTGAATAGTACTTCTGATAACATAATGCTGATTCCCCAGTCAGTGTACAGCTATCATCAGGAACTACAAAATGGACAGAATCCAAATGGTGAACTGGACATAGATGGAGCAGTAGAGGTGAATAGTAGAGGAAGCCTCACATTTTACACACAAATGTAAGACTTACCTTAAACATGGGAAGGAATACTTATCAGATACTTACACTTTCAAGAAAAAAGATAGTCACATACAAATGGGTTTTTAATTTTTGCTGAATAGAACATTGGGCTTCTTCTGTGTTATTTCACTTTTATGTTTTGCATACATTGTGTTCTAATTGTTGTATAATCTTTGACATGTTTTGAGAGAGACAGGATAAGGTTTGACTTAAGAGGAAAATGACTTCTTTGCTGCTTCAATTCATTGGCTGTCTGGCCAGCTCTGTTGGGCTTTGTTGACATATGGGGTGTGGGTGAAGCTTTGGCTTCCTGTTTGCTTTCAGATTAGTTCTTCTTGCACCTGGCAGACAACACTGAGGACTGCATCTTCTGAACACTTTTGCAAAGGTGAGTGACAGTCATGTCGAGTGATTTGAGGTCTTACCAACTTTTCAGACTGTAACAACCCTTTTAGGTGCATTTGTTGTCGTTCCTGAAACCTTGCTGAGTAATGACAGGTACCAATATGATTTTCCTGCTTCAGTATCAATGACACACCCAAATGAAAGTCCCGCCATTCTGCTGTCAGATACGGAGTTTTGAAAAACCAGCAGGGTGTACTACACACTAGACTTACATATATTGGAGACACCTGTGGTTCAAGGAAGCTACTTGCACTAAGTCAAACAGAAAACAACAGTTTTTAAACTGATACTGACAGCTTTTATGTGCTGGCCAAGTTCTAAATGTAATGAAATGCACTGCAGTCAGAGTTTTGGGTTTCGGGAATACTTACACTACAAAGTAAGCATTTTGAAATAAGCTGTGCTAGTAACCTCCATTACACTAAGTGTTTATTCTTATTTACCAAACAAAGAAGGCAGGTATTAACAAAGCCTTAAAACATGAAAGCAAACCAAATTATTAAAATAATAATAAAAAAAGCATAAATCATAAGCACAAAAGATGCAGATTGATTTAATTTATTAGGCCGAACTACTGAGAAATTCAGACATTTTTTATTTTTAGAATATGCATCAATAGATCACGTCCATGCATAAAAAGTAATAACACACTAATTTTTAAGGAGTAATATTTCTCCAGTCCTAATTGTAGGAGAATTTTTCATTGCCCTAATTATCACAGCCAATTAGCCATGTTCATCCCCAAATTAAACAGTGGTATTAGCATGGCAGTGGGATTACATAGCCTCGCTTCTCCCTATTAGTAGTCATCACAAGGCAGAGACACTGCTAATAGGTAGATGCCATTTATGCTACTGGCAAAACTGCATTAAATCAATTCTTCTATCTGCAGCCAAGTCTAAACCAGAATACAGCACTGGTTTCTGTACAAATGAACATCTACATGGCTGCTGATATTAAAGTATACAAAGGGTGAAGTCACAGCTACTGAGACTACAGAGAGACTTCTAGGGAAAGAATATAGATGTTTATTTAAATTCTATTTAGTCAGAATACATGATAAAAATTATTCTTTCTGATGCTTATTCACAAAGAAGTATAAATACCCTCAACTCAATCACGTTATCAGGCCTGGATTCAAATGTATTTCTACTCATTAATTCACATTTATGATTTTTATGAGGTGTGCTTTAGAACTGGCCATAAATGTTTTACTCTGCCTGAATGACTCGTAGCATTCTAGAGCTATAAGGAAATTGCCTGAGCAGAATCATAAGGTGCAGTGTGGCCATTCACAGCATTTACAATTTGTCATGAAAATAGCAGTTAAGAATTCCCAGTTGATTGTTAGTTACATTAAAATGTTATTAATTACTCTAGAGTTTCCACTGAAGCAGAGAGAGAAATAACTCTTGATTTCTGATGTGACTGCTTTCCCACCTGTAATGTGCTAGAAAACAGGAAGAACTAGATTAGGGATTCTAATCAAATCTCATATTTCAGGCAAACAACCTAAGTCACAGAGGCATATGATGAGACAAACCCTCCTCATTTGTTGATAATGAACATGAAAAATGTTCCTTAGATCTAATTGAACTATTAGGTGCTGAAAATCACTTTATTATTCATGAATTCCAGTTAAAAGCAACTCCAGGACACTGACTGACCTGAACATACCTGCAACCAGATGAACAGGCAGACTTGTGCAAGCACTCACATTCATGGCCAATATACATTTTTGAGTGAGTCCTGGATAAGCACAGATAGGAAGGCTTGGAAAGAGAGTATCATGTTCACATGCTTGTTTATTTACCATATAAACACATCCCCAAATATATTAAGCCAGAAAGCATACTATTTTATTAGGCTAGAATAAGGACATATAAAGCAAAAAGAAATATTCTTATCCCAATGTTATGGAGCGTGTAATTGTGAACAAAGAGTTCAGTAGCTTATCTCAGATTACATGGTAAGCCTGTGATACAGACAGTAAATGAAACCAGGTCTACTTCATCTCCATTTCCTAGTGCAAGATCATCTTCTTCCTTTAGATCTGCATATCTGAAATCAAAGGCACAGACATATACACATTCTTTTGGATTAAATCCTGGAACGCTTACACAGTTCTGTTCTTACAAGTAGTAAACCTTAATCTGTAATTGAGAGGCAGCATTTCCACGAGGCAAACCCATGCCAGGCCACTAAATCAGTACAGACTATGGGAGAGAACACAGCTCATGTTGTCAGCGCCTCCTCCAATATCACTTTTGCAGTCCCTCAAGTTTTCTCTTTGAACTCAGTAAATCTTATGAGGTCACGACTACGAATAGTAGGGAAGTGAGAAAAATAAGCAATAAAAAATGTAACAGAAAGACCAGCATTTTACAGAACAAAAGGCCACAGGTTTGTAAGATGAAGTTATGTTGACAGATTACTGGTCAGTACAAACTCTTTCTGGATGTGTGTCTGCTGTGGACTGGACACCCAAATGAACCTCTGTCATTCAGGTATCTAAATGCCTGGCATTGGAGGAGAGGGAGACATTGGAGGACACTACATGCCCACTCTCTTTCATTTCAGAGAAAACCAGGGTGCACAGAACAGTGATGCTGATCAGATTTGCCCTGATGTAGAGTCTGCAGGTGGCAGCAATAGCTATAAGCACCAGGACAGTGTGCATCTGCCTTACAGTTCACATTTCCTCAGATCTCCCATACCTCTTGGATTCTGAAGCTTGTTTCTCCTCGGCACCAAGATATTTTCTTAAACTTTAGCTCTTTTATACTCTAAATCTTTGTGAGAAATCTTTTCAACATCAACAAAGAAAACATACCAGAAAAAAATGGTTTCTTCCCTCAGTGTAAGACATCCCACAGTAAAATAAATGAACATCTGTCTAAATGCAAAACTAATTATGAATGAACATATTTTCTGAGATTAATTGTGTGAAATACAGTTAACAAAAAATATACTTTGAGATTGCACAGCATAAGAGATTACAGAGCACATGCCACAGAGTTAAAGAATTGCTGCTGCAGAGGTATTTTATGAATGCGGAATACACACAGGCAGTTTCCATTAAGATCAGTGACTTACCTCCAATCTTTACATGCTTTGATGACATTTGAGCCTTTGCTAAGAACAGATTCTTCATCTCAAAATGGACAACAAAATACTAAGCTTATGCACTCTTTATATACTTACACGTTGCTGGATGGAATTTATTTTACATGTACTGACTGATGAGCTTTGAACATAGGACTGCATAATCTCAAGATTCATATATAATATAGAGCTGAAGAAATGTAGTACATATTGATCTACCTATACTTTTTATTGCTCTTGTCTGTTTCCCTGTCATGCACAGGAGAGATGTAGCACTGTAGTTATCATCTGATCTTTACAGAGACTAAAGCAGATTTTATGTCTTTTCACCCTTTCAATTTAATTTCAGAGAAACCCTCTCCTTCTGGAGACATACAGAAATAGAGTTTCTCAGAAATTTGCCTTTTCATAGCCCACAAAGCTCTGGGGCCAAGAAAGTCCCCTTGAAGTCAGTGGCAGCCATCAGTCTCGTGCGGAGCACAGGACTGCAGTTTACTTGTTTCTGTATGTGAAGCCTTCAGAGAGAAGCTTCACATACATATGGAGAGTATTTCAGTCTCTGGAGTTTAAATAGAAGTTTCTTTTAAAATCCAAATTCTGATTCTTTCTGCTGTAGCTTCTTTACTTAAGCAAAAGTGTCAGAGAGGCCTCCAGGCCATGCCTCCACCTGTCTGCCAGCTATTAACGAGTACCCAGAGACCTTCCCCTCAGCCTTCCAGTCCATTAGAAAGAATACCATAGATTGTCAGCTGGTTTGTTAAAGTTCTCCTTACTCTAATTAAGAATCAGTCCATACTCCTTCCTGAACTTCAGGAGCTTAACTCATTCTCAGTATTGTATTGCACCAGCTTCGAAGATCTCACTAATTCGCTCTTAGTGATTAAAGGATTATTACTTTTTTTTTTTTTACCACTCTACTGCTCATTACTTTGCCCTTAGCTCCTTGTTCAGCCTACAGTTTTGATTACAATTTTCTCAGCTGCCATGAAGGCCACACAGGTGTCTTCATTTTCACAAAGCTCTGCTCTCTTTTGACCTCCTTGTTACTGTACTCTCCATCTTCCACATCTTCTCAGTGTTGCTGCCAGGCTTGGGCTCATCAAAATTTTCTGTTCAACTTCTCTATGACTTTAAACCCATGAGCCTTAATGACTTCTCATCAGCTCTCAATCCTTTCCCCCTCTTGGTCCATCCTTTCATTTCTTAATGTGGTACTTGGTCCTGTCTATGTTTATATCTGGTCCATCTTCGGTCATCACTGTGGCAACTGCCTCCATCTTGCCTGTCATTCAACCTATGGCACAGGCTGCACCTTTGGCTAGAGCTCTGTAATGTCAACTGTTTTCCTAAATAATGTTTCTAAATTATACAACTAAGCATTTGGCCACATTCTTATTATCTCAACATTTGATTGCTCTGACTCATTTTCCCTGAGTTTGATGTTCTGCTTTAGGAAGCACTTCCTGGCTTGTGACTGTGGCAGTGTCATTTTCTCTCTTTCTCCATGTGCTTTTCTCTTTTGCTGCTCTCCAGCTATGCACTTGATCTCTTAAAATCTTCTTCTCAGTTGAAGCTTAAGGAGGTTATGGATGCCCCATCCATGGAGGCATTCAAAGCCAAGCTAGATGTGGCTTGGGGCAGCCTGGTCTAGTGTTGGCGATCCTACACATAGCAGGAGAGTTGAAACAAGATGATCATTGTGGTCCTTTTCAATGCAGGCCATTCCATGATTCTATTCCACATCTCTCAGTGTCAGGAGTTAACTTAAGCTTCGATTTCCCTTCTACAGCTGCTTCCCCTGTGCACTTGATAACTTTCAATGAGGCACCTTTGGGTTGTTTCCTTTGGGTTGTTTTCTCAGAGACTTGCAAGGAGCTCCTGGTAGGCCAGCAGGCTATTGCCCATGCCCTGCCTTATATCATATCTGCTGGTTCTTATCTCACACTTGGAAGGCTGACTTTAACGTGCTCTGTTGGTTGGGATCATCTGGTCTCTGCACCAGGATCTAGCACTCCTGGGCACCATGATGATGCAAGTGATAATCTATGTTTCAAGATCTGACTCCTACTTCCTTTATTGCTGAACTTAATGGTCCCAGCAGACTCTTCCTGAACTTAAACCAGCTTTTGGACTCTTTCACAAATGTTTTTGCTTTGACCTTTAGAGTTACCGGTTTGGATTCACTTAGTACTCTATGAAACATGCCCAGGAATTGTTTATTATAACATTAATCAGATTTAACACTAGATGTCTTAAATAAATCTACAGGGTAAGGAAGCAAAGTAGAATTAGCAAATGAAACTGAAAAGCAGTTATGTGACACAGTAAGAGAAGTGCCATAGTCTTCAGCCTTTTCTAAGTAATACAGCCTTCATTTCTGCACTTTTTTGTGTGGAACTGTTCTCTGCTAACTAAAGAAATACAATTTATCCAGTAAATTGAGGAGGGGAAAAATGTAATGTTACCTGAGCTCATAGGATCGTATCTACTTTGTGCCACCAGGCTGACAGGTCCACGATAACACTGCATGATAACCACAATCACCTCTTAAAACTCCATGGATTATTTTTCAGCTCCATTTCCATTGTGGTTGGGGTATTCGACAAATTATGCAATGAAAAGTTCATCTGAAACAAACTCATTACTGGCGATAAAACAGCAGTTGAAGAGAAGTCATGCAAACAAGTCACAATGGCAGTAAGGTACTGATCCTGGGGGAAACCAGCCCACATTTAGGCAACTCACACAATGCACCAACGATCACTGCTTTGCAGGCTACTAGATGGCACTGTTTTGCTGAGCACAGCTGCAAACAGAAATGCTCTTGCTTATTTAGTAAAACACCCCGAGTCCTGGCTGAAGTTGCTTTCATCATTGCTATGAACGGGAGGAAAGAAAGGCTAAACTTACTGTCACTTTAAGTAAAAAAACAAGTTTTCTTCTTTTCCTTCAGAATTTTGAACGCTTTATTTTTTACAAGGGTACTTAAACATTTTTGTTATGTTCAGACTATGTGTTCAGGCAGGTAGGCTCTAGGTTTTTATACCTATATAGGCCTCAGCTCTCAGGTGCAGAGTAGTCCTTTGTAACAAAGGGTAGCTTGAAATGGTTTAAGTAATTCTATGTCGTATTTACTCTTCTAGTAGCTGTCTTGGATATGCTCTCATTAGCTAAATGCTTTAATTCATTATGGAGTCTAAGTTAAGACTAAGCTGCAGTGAGCAATGACAGTTTTATTAAAAACACATTTTTCATTTAAGTGTCAGTGTTTTCAGATGAATTAATTTTAATACGACTGATAGTTTAAATGGAAGGCAATATACTCTCATTCAGAGAGAGGTTCAAACCCAATTATATATATGAAAACTAATTGTATGCAAAGGATGGATCCAAAGGACAAAAATGTCATCAGTTAAACAATGACCTTTCTCAGAGTAGCATTTGATACAGAATAATCATCTCTGATTAACAAGATAAGGGTTTATCCCTGCTTTGCTACTGCCCTGGCATGAATGCGTGGACTGCACTCTGAGGCCAGGAGCTGCCCTGTCCTTCAGAGCTTGTTGGAACTGCAGCCCTGTATAAACACTCTAGCTGGACCTCTTGGGTTTTCCAGCTCTGGTGGAATGAGAGGCGAATTGTTTGTCATCCAATTCAGGCAGCGCCAGCCAAATTAACTCAGATCACCTCCTCAGTTGCTCCTAAGAAAATGCTTGTGTGATCCCATCTGTTCAGCAGAAGAGCTTGGGAAGCAAGTATCCCCTGAAGAGAGGCTGTAAGGAATGATTATGGGTTAATAACTTCTTAAATCACTGCAGCTGTTTGCAATGTTATTGACTGTGCTTGACATCTTTCTTTCCTTTATAGGGTTTGGCTGTCTAGGGCTTGAAGAATATCTAATGCAATTCAGATTGGATAAGAGGAGTCGGAGAAAATCTTTATAATTACTATAGCCTTTCCTGGAAAACTTGTCTCAGACTATGTAGTAATCCTTCACCCCCAATACAGATTGGGCTTTCATTTTTGCCAGAGCTGTAAGGGAGCGCTTACAGAGAGCTCAATGTGTTTACATTTGGTAAAGGGAGATTCTGCCACATGCCAAGCACAAAATTTATTCTAGCATCTCAGCCTTTTAATCTGGTATAAAAAACCAAAACAGTGGGTGAGGGCTTCTTATCTTACATGTTTTCAGACTTCCAAAGTATCTTCTTCTGCTACATGAAAGAATGCTGCAGACTGCTATGCGACAAAGGATTTGTCTGGTTCATCAAATCTTTTGCCTGAGGACTTTTACGCCTCCAGTATATACAATGAGGCACCTTCAATTTCTGCTAGCTACATTATTCTTTAACAAACCTCTGCCCTACTATTACTATAGCCCTAATGTAAACTATTCAGCAATGCCCACAATTAACCGCAGGATGAATTGCCTCGCAGCACAGAGAAAGAAATTATGACTTGGAGACCTTTAAAATCAATTCAATCAAACTGATAGAATGCTTCCAGCGCTTGGCCTGGGAGCAAAGCACTTCTCAGCAGGCCTATCAGGCCCAATGTGGGCAAAGCAAGCTCTCAATGCCTCCCAGCTGGGGCACACGCATTTGTGCAGAGCAGCCTCTTTTCTGGTCTATGATCCCATGTCAGACCCGGTTAGGTGATGGGTCATTCATGGTGTTTGGGAATAGTAAATTATTGCTGATTGTTGATGTGTTTTTTCACTGCAATTCTGTAATACATTGTTGTGGGGGCTTTTTTTCCGATAAGAGGTTAACATTATTATTTGTTGAAGAAGACTATGAGTGTGGTTTGTGAAGTCTGTAAGTTTTTTGAGGCCATTAATCTGGGTTTAAACCAGATTATCTAGCTAATATTTTTACTATGATTTTTCGTGTTTGTGTGGTTTGTTTTAATACACTTCACATCGTGAATCCTTTGCTGTACAAGCTGATAGGAAGTTGAATTAGCAAAGGGGGAGTAATGATGTGGGAATAAGAAGCAGCAAGCATAGGAAACAGGCACAGGGGAAGCTTCTCCTACAGCAGCACAGGCATACTCTCGCTTGATATAGAAGAATATAGCCAGTGTCTTCCTGATGGTCATGGAATATTTTTAAAAAAGTAATGTAGGAAGGATTGTTTACAATCTAACGCCTACAGCTGGGCTGTCTTTCAAATCTCCTTTTCATATGTAGAATCTCCTAAATCTTTTTTTCCTTATTAAACTTGAAAATCAGAAGTCACAAGCTCAAGATTCAGGATAAAATTCTGTGAGCTGGTAATGCTAAGTGCATAGGATGCTATCATCCAAATTACCGATTCATTTTTACTTTACATTTCTGCCTTATTTCCAGAGAAAAATCCATCACGCTTCCTCACCAGCCCAGCCCTGCTTTGCTTATGAGCCCTGACAAGATCACAGCTTGAGGTAGGTTGGTTGCATACAGTGGGCAGAACAGTGTTGTGATCATGATAATTGTCTGAGACATGTAGGCCTGTAATTGCTTAGTAATAACCAGACGTGGTATTTTTTCGCACAGCAGTCTTGACAAAAAGTTCTGACTGCTCAGCTATCTAAAAGCCATGGTGCTCAAAGTAAAGTGGAGCTGCTTGTGAATGGTGTGACAAACACAGAAGCCACCAGAGATGTGTATTACTTCATCTCAGGGATTAGAGATGACCAGTAGAGAGATTCCTGTGTGAATAAACCAGGGTCAAGAAGCCTTTGGTTTCCTAAATTAAAGTAGTACCTAATACTTTGTAGGAAATACAGTGGCAGGTTTTTTTCTATACAACATCCTGTCTGAGACATTTCAGAGAATGACATATTGCCACGGTTCGTTTGTGGCCACTTTTCTATTTTATTGTTTTTCTACAAACTGATCTGAGGGTGGATCCCTGCTCGTGAGTGTGGTTGATTCATTCTCTCAGTGCTGTTCATTGAAGGATGCTGTCTGGCTGAGGGTTAGAAAGAGACAGCCTTGGAGAGGAGAGCTTTGTGAAATGTTTTTATATTAACCTATTTTAAGAGTTGTGATTGATCAGTAGGAATTCCTACAGACCAACCAGTGTAAAATTTTAGCTAGAGAAAGTCCTGAGGGTATTCAGAAAGCATTTAGTTTAATTCAGGAAGAAAATAATGTTTGAAACCGGCTGTCAAGTAGCAGTTGTGTCTGTCACCATCACTTTTGTGTATGTTTAATACATTAGATGTACAACTGCACAGAAGAAAATAACAGCTCAGAAGTGAAAGATATACAGAACAACACACAGCCTTAGATATCTAAGTCATCTATCTCCCTTTTCTGATGAAATTTTACCATTTTGAATTTGTATCCCAAGACAGGGATACAAGGCAGTTATATGGATAAAAATGCACTCTAGCTATTTGATTTAATATTTCAATGTTGAATTTCTTCATATATGTGCATTTTTCAGCAACGAGGAGACACATTGCAATGTAGAGAATGCTACTGAGGAGAGACCAAGGGGAATAAAGAGGGGAGCAGCAGCAATCAACACAAAGCTAGGACATCTGGTGGAGGCAGAACAAATGTGTTAAAAGACACAGCATACGTTTATCAGCTACTTCAAACGTATGCAGGTGGCTGACATTCCATGAATGTCCTGGCAGACCATCAGTTGGCTAGTTGCTCAGAGAAACAGGAAAATTGCGTGAAATAAATTCCTCATGACAGAGATACGGGGTTCCACATATAAATTTAAATAGTTACGACCAGAGAGAGTGTGAATATCAGTGCAACAACTTCTAAGCTCTGGTGCTGGTAGGAATGGCAGTTGGAGGTATAGGACTTGGGATCAGATGGAGCAGATACATTAGCAAAGGGAGGGACTGTTCAGAAAGCAGGCTGTTCCTGGCATCTCGTTCTGCCTGTATTTTTCTCTTTTTATGATGATACAAGTTGTGCAAAATGGTACTGATGTAGTTAATCCAAGGTGATCAATTTATGCTTTTCCCCATGGTATGTTGCTATGGGCATAAATAACTGTGATTTTTAGGAATGTGGAGAATCACAGCTGCAGGTACAGGAAAATAAAAAAAGAATGTCAAACAAAACTAGCTGTCTTGACGATGCACATAGCTGTTAGGCTTTGCAGTGCTGTCAAGCAGATTTTCAAGCTGCATGTTTATCAGTCTGTTTAACAGCACTGTATTTTGAAAACTTGCTAATAGATTAGTCTAAGTCAAATGGCCCTGGATCTTTAGCAGGTGTTTCCATTCTCTAAGGAAACCTTCTAGTCCTCAAGTCCAATCTTAAAAGGCTTTTTGGCAATTGTAACATTAAAAAAAGAAAGTCTTGCCCCAAGTTTCAAGCAGGAACAGAAAGAGGAATTGCTGGTTTGATCAATCTTATGCCTTGTGAGCTTTCCATACTTAATTTTTACCCATCAGATCAAAGACTAAGTTCTTTCTGACTGCATTGAACTTCTTTAATTTCTTAAAAAAAAGGAAGCAGTAGTATCACAGAAGGACCGTGTTGTTAATATTTGAATAGATTTTGTGCCTCATGTAATTACATGGAAAAATAAAATAACGAAAATTCTGGCTTTTCATGTAGAGCAAATGGCATATCAACCTTTCAGAAGTTTTACCTAGCAAAAAGTGTCTTCTGCATTCCAATATGGAAAAACCCTTGTTTTTAATGGCATGTAAGAAAATACCTTCCTAATGTGTGGCTGAAAACGTGTTTGTACTGGAAACTGAGGATTCTACAGTTTTACAGAAATCTAAACCATCAAATGCTTCAAAGAGTTTGTAAAACTAATTAATTGACAGTCTCATGCTAATAAAAGATTACTAAGCCTTCCAAATCCAGGTGCCTGTCAGTGGTTCAATTGCTGGACTTCAGGGATATCTAAGGATATGCTTCAGGAAAAGTATACACAATTAAACACATTTTTATGTAAATGCTAAACGCTTCACACACCTCCTTAAAGCCTGTATGTTTAAAATATATATATGTATTCTCTGTCATAGGAATATTTTTCCAAATCAAGGCCTGACATGATATACAGATGTACAGTGTATAAATACACCTGCTCAGTAGAGAGGATGTTCTTACGCACTTCAACTCCTGGCATTCTGCTGCATGCTCAAACTGCCACAGATCGTGTTTCCAAGGACAGCTAATCACACTGCACTTAGCAAAAAAAAACAACCCAACACAATAATATTCAACTATGGAGTGCTGGAAAATCCAAGGTTATGAGAAGAACAACATAACATAACATTTTAAGGAAAGATAGTAATCACTTCATAAATACAGGTTCAATGCCAACTGTAGCAGTACCTGATGTTAGGGAGCTTAAGACACTGAGATATTGGTGTTGTTTGACCCAAAGACCATTCACACCTAAATGTATATTAAAAGAAAAAGACCGAAGACCCTGGCTGTGTGGAAGTCAACTATTATGTGCCAAAGCATGCTCTTTTCTTTGCAATATACATAATGAGATACAATCCCTCACCAGTTCATCACTCAAATAGCTAAATCTGATTTTGCAGTGAAAATGCAATTTAATCTCATCAGGTTCCATAGTGCTGAAATACTAAACTTAACAATAGAAACTGATGTGATATGTTTGAAATTAAATTGAACCACTACAAACAATGGGTTTCTTCAGAGACTGGCCTTGACTCAATCTGTTTTTCCACTTCATTTTGCAAAGAAATCATCAAGTCTAATGGCTTCAAGCAATCTAAGCGATGTGCAGGTTGAATAAAAAAACCACAAGCAATGTCACTGGAAAAACACGACACACAAACAAAGAGAAATTACCACATGCTGCACTGAAAGTGTTATCATTTCCCCAGTCCATCTGAGAAACTTCTATCTGAAGCAAGGGAGCCAACTGTCAACCAGGCAAGTCAGGAGAAAGATTTTGCCTTCCTTAATGTCTGGATAAGAGCTTATGTCTGAAGAATATCATATGAATGTTAGTGTCTGAGACTGACAAGAAATTTGTTGACTTGAACAACTAGAGAACAATACATTTGGAAGCTGTAAAGATTTATGGACTCCTACTCTGCAGAAGCAGTGATGAACTGTTTAACTTTACTTCCTCTTATGGACAGCATCTGTTTCCTCCGATGGCTGAAAAAACATCAGCTAAGTTTTATATTAACTGATGGCAGGATGCATAATCACCAGAGACCCTCATTGAAATTTTCTAGGCATAAATAAGTTGCTACCCCAAGGGCAGCCTCAGACTATCTAGGTTATATAACACTGAACAGACATTTACCTTTGACAAGCCACCACCCACATATTAAGACCCCAGACCTAAGACAGTGCCAGATCCAAGGAATCGTGAACTCTCTCTGTTTTTCTGTCTCTCTCTTCTCTTTTCTCTCAGTCTTTTACTTGTTTTTCTCTAGTAGCCATTGCCTAAATTTGCCTTAGAGTAGCTAACAAGGAGGTAACACCTAAGCTAAGTACCCTTATCCATAATGCTTAGTAATTGTTGTTAGAAAGTTGCCCAATTTTGCTTCAAAGCAGCTAATTAATTGTTGTTGTTAGAAAGCTCAATAACCTGTCTTGTACTGTTCCTCCAAGTCATGGTCTGATTCCATCTCAGGAGTGACCCTTGTAGAACAGGGAGTGCTATATTCAGGGGATTCCAAAGATTCATCTTCCTTGCAACTCATCTAGTGGAACAAGACAGTGTATGACCTGAAAATGTGCATACAAAGGTATAAGACTGAGGTCTTCATCAAACATAAGATGCCTTGCACCACAGAGGCAGCGAAAGGTAGGATGAGATGGAACAGGATGGGGATTTGGGATGGGATAGAATAGTTCAGCTGGAAGACACCTGCAAATGTCATGAAGTCCAACTGCCTGACCTCTTTAAGGCTAAGGGCATGAACACATGCCTCATGAACACAACAGGCATGGGGCATCCTTTCTCTAGGAAGTCTGTTCCAGCATTTGGCCACCCTCAAAGGCAAATAATTTTTTCCTGATGTACAGTCTGAACCTCCCCTGGTGGAGCTTTGTGACATTTTCCCCTGCATCTTATGGGTTACCAGGGAGAAGAAACCAGCACCTCCCTCTACATTTTCCTCAGAAAAATTCTCATCAGGAATTTCCCCTCTGCAGGAAAAGCAAATGAAGCAAACGGAAAAGCTCTCAATCAACAGTAGACAATGCCAGGAGACTACCTTCTCCTGGGAGCCAGTCTGATGGATACCTGCATTCCAGACTCACACCACAGTACCATATCCAAGGAAATAGCACAATGCTTCTTCTCTCAGGAGGCATAAGGAGAATGAAGACTACAAACGTGCAGTGTCTGGGTAATAAATAACACTGATCAAGAGACTCCAGTGACTTTGCGATGAGCATGATTAGAGCTGCATTGTCCAAGACTTTCTGCATGGCTACTCACCACGTGCAGAAGAACCAGGCATTCTCTTCTGAATAGTAGAGATTCACAGAGACTTTCATCCATTTCCCCTGGGTGAAGAGGGATGGTGTAACCTTAATGTATGTCACTGATATGTATTAGAAACAGGTTTGTTGAAGTTACAAATAACTATTACAAACATTTTAAAACAGGAGGCATCTTAGTCTGAATTTAATCTGTGTTTGTGTACTTTCTGGTAGATACTGTGTGAGACAGGTTTCATCAAAACGAACAGATCTATTTTTCTGTGCCTACAAATAAAAAATAAAAGGTGTGGGGGGAAAATACCCAGAATTGTTTGTTTCTGCTAGAGCTGATCTGCTAGCCAATTTGAAAGCCAGATGGCTGTAAGTTGATTCCAGTACCAGCTGTCCAATTCCTAGATGCCTGTTTGACAATATTGTCCTTCTTTATTTGTTTACTTTAGGAATAGCTCTGTAGGGAGGTTTACCATCTCTATCATCCTCACTTAGGGGAAAGCCTATGTGAGCAGAGAAAGGGTTAGGAAAACAGAATTTAGGAGGATTCCCAGCGAAGGTTTTCTCCTAATCCTTCCAGGATTATAATGACTTGAGTGGCTTGCTGAAAGCAAAACCTCTCAATTGCCAAATTGGTCCAGTACTCACATGATAAAGACACCTGAGCCCTCCCTGCTAGACAGCAGGTATGTATCCACAGCAGTGCTCTTACTGCATAACTAAGCTTCACTGACGTCTCCTTGGCATTTCAAAACCAGTGACATGCTTCAGAGGTCTCATCTCAAAAGCTAATCCTCACCCCAGGCTATCTTGACTTCTGAAAAGGTTCTGGGGGAAATTTCTGTGAACTACCAGAAACCAACCCAGCACCCCACAGAGGACTCCCGTGGCACCCAGATGGTGGGCTAATGACGTCAGTAGTTATATGTTGATGTTTCTAGGCCCACTTTTTAAAAACTTGCCAACACATGAGGAGTTTTAGCAATGGTGACCAAACAAGCTTCTGAAACCTGCTAACTTCTCACAGGCTTCTTCTAAGGAAACTGGCTGCACATGGTTTGGACAGATATACCCTTCTTTGGGTAAGAAACTGGCTAGAGAGCCGTGCCCAGCAGGAAGTGGTGAATGGAGTTAATTCCAGCCGGCCACCCATTTCAAGTGCTGTCCACCAGGGGTCAGTACTGGGGCCCATCTTGTTTAATATCTTTATTGATGACCTACATGAGTGCACCCTCAGTAAGTTTGCAGATGACACCAAGTTGGAAGGTGGTGTTGATCTGCCTGAGGGTAGGAAGGCCCTTCAGAGGGATCGCTGGGCTGAGGTGAATGGGATGAGGTTCAACAAGACCAAGTGTCGGGTCCTGCACTTTGGGCACAACAACCCCATGCAGCGTTACAGGCTTGAGGACGAGTGGCTAGATGACTGTGAAGAGGAAAGGGACCTGGGGGTGTTGGTTGATGCTCGGCTGAACATGAGCCGACAGTGTGCCCAGGTGGCCAAGAGGGCCAACGGCATCCTGGCCTGCATTAGAAATGGTGTGGCCAGCAGGAGCAGGGAGGTGATCATCCCCCTCTACTCAGCTCTGGTGAGGCTGCACCTCGAGTACTGGGTTCAGTTTTGGGCCCCTCACTACAAGAAAGACATTGAGGCCCTGGAGCGTGTCCAGAGAAGGGCAACGAAACTGGTGAGGGGTCTGGAGCACAAGTCTTATGAGGAGTGCTGAGGGAGCTGGGATTGTTCAGTCTGGAGAAGAGGAGGCTCAGGGGAGACCTCATTGCACTGTACAACTTCCTGAAGGGAGGTTGTGATGAGGAGGAGTTTGGCCTCTTCTCCCAGGCAACAAACAGGACCCAGGGAAATGGCTGCAAGTTGTATCAGAGGAGGTTTAGGTTGGACATAATGAAGAATTTTTTCTCTCAGAGAGTGGTCAGACACTGGAATGGCTGCCCAGGGAGGTGGTGGAGTCGCCGTCCCTGGCAGTGTTCAAGAGGTGTCTGGATGAGGAGCTACGAGATATGGTTTAGTGCTTGTGGTAGCAATGGTAATAAGAAGATGGTTGGACTAGATGATCTTACAGGTTCCAACCTTGTGATTCTATGATTCTGTGATGCTATGATTCTATGAACCTATCTGAGCAAATAATCCAAGGGACAGTCAGCAATTCAGCTGACAGAATTTAGGAATTTCTAATTGATGGTAGATACAAAAATGGGCTCACAAGAGTTTGTTCTTATTTTCCAGAACTATACTCACAGTTGAAAAGTGAGTAAATGGCAGAAAGAGACTTGACTGATAACACAGACACTCACTCTCCAGGAGATATTTTACCAATCCAGAGTAGTGGCTGTGAAGGTTCTTTGTGGCTTACAGCTGGTGTTTAGCTCATCATTTCAATAGGTAAATCAGGACAGTGGTAATGATAATGAAATAATGAGTAATTATTTCCTTCAGCTACAGTGAAAAGCCACAGATTTGCTACAAAATGCATTTCTACGAGCTGAGAATCTGAGAAATGATAATTGAAGAATACCCCATGAGTCAAACTAAGGGATTTTTACATTTACAAATATAAATAGACTTAAAAAAATAAAAATATTCAGTTTCCTACCACTGTTACATTAAAAAATTAGGATAGTTTCCTTTTTTTTCTTTCTGTAGCTAACACTTCTGAACAGTTGACAAGCCAGCTGTTATGCCTGGTAGCAGGTTTTATTCTGTATATTTTTAGTATATTTATACCACTATACATTAAAAATTAAGTCAATTGAATGAGTAATGACACGATCCTATGATATCATAATCCTATGATGTGACTGCCTTTTCATTTATAGAAAATTAAACAAGTGTAATGTAGCCTGGAAGAATTCAGTCTATTGATCAAATGTGTATAATTTAAGCATGGAAAGTTCACACAGTTAACTAGTTATTTATACAACATTTTATCCCGGTGACATTAATTTTGCAAAATGGCAGCATCTCAGGATGCTGCATCAAATGTTTCTCTACAGTGAAACAGATGGTTTTTCAAATGGCTGTCCCTGGAAAGGCAACCTGTTAGCTGGGAATCACACTGCGATCCTTTTGATTTCTTCCAGCCATGTTTCTTGGTGGAAATGTTTTTGCGAGTCAGGTTCTGATTTGCTTTGCTTCATCCGTGCAGCTTCAGTGATTTGGAAGAGTATCAGGAGCAAAAGAGGCAAAAGAAAGAACTGTGCTCTCTGGGGACAAAATTCATGTAAAGCTTCAAAGGGAAGGTTCAGGTTTTTTATAATAAGAGGAAAGAGTAATTTAGAAATAATGTGACTACAGAGCCTGGAGACAGAGCTGAATTTTGGAGCACCCTTTTTGGTCATGCTGGTGTGAATACAGAAGGTATTAGAGTGAGAGAATTAATTGCCTTGGGCAGGAATTTTAACAGCAAGGGAGATGAGAATTAAGGATGTTAATCAGAAAAAAGCAACATAAATTTGAAAACAGCTTGACCTCAAGAGAATAGAGAGAGTTGTTAGGGAATATGACCCTGATTGCATATATTAGCTTGGGAATATTTATGCGAGATGTTATATATTGAATGTGTCATTCTATATCAACACTTTAGAAGGGCTATACAAATAGACTCTTGAAGTTAGCCTGAAAATTCTTTTTTTTTTTTTTTTTTTTTTTTTTAATTTAAGTTATCAACTTTATAGAGGTTGATGACTAAACGTAATTGGCTTGCTCACTGTA